AAACTGAGAGCTCTGGTGGCAACATTTCGTTGGTTGAATGCGAGTCGAGGTGTAACCGTGTATGCGAGCACTGAAAGTAGAGAACACTGACCAGGATTTCGACGGTCCTGTCCTGTCGAGGCATAGGTTTAGTATATGGGGGGCCGGGGAGGTCATGGCCCCCACCTCCGGAGGTGGTGGTCAGCAAAGTTAACTGCATCCCTCCCCCACTTTTTGCTGACTTTCATGGCGGCGTAAGAACAGGGGCAGAGGGCTATGGCCCCCACTTTCTGAGGTTGGGGGCAGCAATTTTAATTGCCCCTCCCCACTTTTTGCTGACTTGTGCCAGTCTGTACCTACTTACCACCCATCACCCTTAAATTTTGACGATTCTCCAGCTTCCCCCTTTGATGAAGATTTCCTTTTGTATCTACACTCTACACTCCAGGGCATATTTTAACAAATTTTTACTGCGTCCCAAAGTTGAGCAGAGGGCACGTGCTACGACTAAAGGCACAGGGCAAGGAACAGAGTAGGGCACTGAGGAGGGCAGAAAGTAGGGCACGGCAGGTTGCAGGGCATGGCACAGGATATTTTAGAGGGAAGGCCGGGAACAGGTCAGGGCAGACAGCAGGGCACAGGTCAGGGAACCGGACAGGGCAGGGACGCAGTGGGTCAAATTAGCAGGGGCTACGTCCCAAGGCGAGGGGGCTGCGTCCCAAAATGGGACGCAGTAAGTGCCTTAAAATATGCCCTGCTACACTCTACAGCCATTTGGGCGCCACTTCCCTAATTAACCCGCGCATGACTGGGGGGGGGGGGGGGCTCCACAGAGCCCCCCTCCGTTTTTCGGCAATATCTTCTGAACTGACGGATCAACACGAAACTTGCGATATCCTCAGCGGCATCAATTTGACACCTTGTGGTAAAATTTCAACTTTCTAGCTACCGTAGTATGGCCGAAAATGACGTCAGAGTGACGTCATGTCGGCCGATTTTGATGCAAATTATTGAACTACGGCAAACGCTCTCAAGAGCTTAGTTTTAAAGCTAGATCCAATTTCTTTGCATCAGTGGACTACAAATACACGTAGTTATCAAACTGCTATCTCGAATTTTCGGAATTTTGAAAATTGTGTAAAGTATGTAAATGTTTTTACAATTACAAAAACATATATTTTTGATTTTTCCAAAATATTTTGATTTTACGCAAAAAAAAACCGGCATAAACGTGATAGAGCACACACTGATGAACTACTCTAGCAAGTCTTAGCCCAGTATCTTCAAAAATAGCCAAGTTATTTGCATACCCAGTAAACATGACGACGTCGGCCCGACTTCGGGCCGAGGCTCGGCCCGACGTCGGCCCAACGTCGGTTCAACCTCGGCCCGACATCGGCTGGACGTCGGATATGCCCGCATGTTCCGACGTCCAGCCGAAGTCCAGCCGACGTCGAGCCGACGTCGGGCCGAGATCGTTTGCCGAGGTTGACGAGATCGTTTGTCGTTGGACCGACGGGGCCGACGTCGGCATGTTTATTGGGACAACGCGCCAAAAATATCAACCGGCGGCGGGATTCGAGCCCCCCAGTCACCGACGTCGGTATGTTTACTGGGATAACACGCCAAAGGCATCAGCCGGCGATGGGAATCGAACCCCGTGTCCTTCGAACGCGAGGTTAGTGTGCTAACCACTACACCACGCAGCCAGCTAACGAGTTTGATTTGTTTTGTTGGCTTATGCCCTTTCGGTCCGGCAAGACCATTTCAGAGCCGGAAGGATCATAGGATGGAGACATTGGTCTTCTTGACAGGGCTGCGGAGTCGATGGATTTTCGGCGACTCCGACTCCGACTCCGGCTTTCAAAAACCAGCTCCGACTCCGACTCCGGGCAGAATTGTCGACTCCGACCGACTCCAACTCCCGACTCCGACTCCGCAGACCTAGCAGGGCTGCGGAGTCGACAGATTTTCGGTGACTCCGACTCAGACTCTGGCTCGGGTTTCTAAAATCGACTCCGACTCTGACTCCGGTCACAACTGTCGACTCCGACCGACTCCGACTCCGACTCCGACTCCGACTCCGCAGCCCTGCTTCTTGGCGAGCACCCTGGATCCAGTTCATATAGAGTCCCTGGTCCCATTGCTGTTACGTGACACCCTTATTGGAAAGGGCGACCCCACAATGGATTCATATAGCCACTCTTACACACCTGCACCAACGTTTCCCAAAGTGTCCCTTTGATAAGTGGCACTTTGGGCAAAGTGACACTTGCCGACTGGCCTTTCTATATGAACTGGGCCCGGCCCTGGTGAGTTGCCGGGGCTGAGCCTGACCAAAGGATAGGCCGAGTAGCCACCAAGCACTGACCGCACCCGGCTACGGGCGAGCTCGGCTTACGGGCAATCCCAAATGGGATAAAGTTTCCCGTCCAGTCCGGATCAAGGGGTTGCGGCGTGGAGGAGGATTTGAGTTTCCTGAGGATATTTTGAATACAGAAGCTCTTTATGAAACATGAAACATGTATTTTATATTATTTTAACGGTCAAAACAGCGGCCGATGTCGGTCCGACGTCGCCCCGACGTCGGCCCGACGTCGGCTGGACCTCAGCAATTGATCTCGGTCCGACGTCGGCCCGACGTCGGCTGGACCTCGGCTGGACGTCGGAACATGCGGGCATATCCGACATCCAGCCGACGTCGTGCCGAGGTTGGACCCACGTCGGGCCGACGTCGGCATGCCGATACCGAGTTGCCGACGTCACCCCGACGTCGGCCGACGTCGGGCCGACGTCGGCATGTTTACTGGGTAATTGTCAAAATTTTACCATTACGTATATATTTTCATCGAGTAAATTGGTAATTTATTGAAAACCATCGATGGTACATTGTTCGTCAAACACATACTTTGCTATCTGAGGTCACTGATACCAGGTCAGGTCACAGCGAGGTCAGGTCACCGGGGGTCACAATATGAAAATGTCGTGTGATGCATGTTGTATGGTCCATTTTACATGACAAATGCGATTATGTGGGTTAGACAGCCTTTGGGGCCATCCTAGGTCACATTTTGGTGAAGGTCAGGTCAAGGTCATGTCAAATAAGGTCAAATTTCAAAATTGATATTTTTGCATTAGATGGGTATCAATCGATGCAGCTCGTCACGGGGAGTCTAATGGTGGTATTTGTTTTGCTCTACGATGTCCAGAATTGCCAAAAATTGAGTTTGAAAATTTGACGTCATCATTTTTGAACAGTTTTTTCGCTATAACTTCGTCAAAAAACGAGGTATTGATCTGAAATTTGGTATGTGGATAGAAGACGGTAGGTGCTATCACATATATTCCGTTTTTTCGAAACTCAATTTTTTTTTGGATTTTTTGGCAAATATATCCAAAAAAAATGCTTTTTTGATTTTTGGGGGTCGAAACTCAAATATTTCTAAAATCCGAGATAGCACTTGGCAGTTTTGTGGCCCTGTCAATTCTACACCTTTAATGTCTTGATCATTTTTCTGTATCTTTAAAGCTTCAACAGACAGACAGACAGATTTCATTTAATTTCAGACAGATAGCAGTTTTGTAGACCGACGGACCGACGGACCGACGGACCGACGGACCGACGGACCGACGGACCGACGGACCGACGGACCGACGGACCGACGGACCGACGGACCGACGGACCGACGGACAGACAGACAGACAGACAGAGGGCGGAGATTGACTCGCAGACCGGGTCGGGGAATAATACACAGAGTGCCGCTGTGACGACTCGGGGACTGAGACTGACTCGGGGAATGACTCGGGATTACTCGAGGACTGACTCGGAGCCCAGGGATGACTCGGGAACTACCGCTGCTGCCAGGGTCCGGCCTAGGTGTATCGACCTCCCTCCGGACGTTGATGACCCCTCCCCCCCCCCCGTCCGACCAGCCCAGTCAGCCGTGGACGCTGTGCCCCGGTTCAGGCCGCACAGTGCAGGCGACACCGGCCGATGTTGCCAATACGCTCCCGTAGGCGGCTGGTTTATTTTGTTCACCGAACACTGACACGGACATACTCCCACTGTATCTTACCGCACCGAACAGGCTCCAATCACCGCTCGGCACACGGCCCAGAGGGCGCCTCAGGTGGCCGACAACTCCGCTCTGCAGTCTGCGCACAGCCCAGGGGCGCCTCAGGTGGCCGACAGCTCCGCTCTGCGGTCTGCGCACAGCCCAGGGGCGCCTCAGGTGGCCCAACAGCCCCGCTCGGCACACGGCCCAGAGGGCGCCTATGGGACACACCCTCTACTGACAGCACGGGACACGTCCTCCACTGTCAGTTCGGGACACGGGGTCGCTATTTTCCAGGCGGGTCACTGTCCCTCAGACAAGGGTCGCTGTTCCCCAGGCGCAGACCCTCAGGTGGCGGGAGTTGTCTTTCAGTCGGCGGACGGAGGTGGCTGTCCCTCAGCTGGCGGACCCTCAGTCGGCGGACGGAGGTGGCTGTCCATCAGCTGGCGGACCCCCAGTCGGCGGACGGAGGTGGCTGTCCCTCAGCTGGCGGACGGAGGTGGCTGTCCCTCAGCTGGCGGACGGAGGTGGCTGTCCCTCAGCTGGCGGACCCTCAGTCGGCGGACGGAGGTGGCTGTCCTTTAGCTGGCGGACCCTCAGACAGCGGACGGAGGTGGCTGTCCCTCAGCCGGCTCAGTCGGCGGACGGAGGTGGCGGACCCTCAGCTGGCGGACCCTCAGTCGGCGGACGGAGGTGGCTGTCCCTCAGCTGGCTCAGTCGGCGGACGGAGGTGGCTGTCCCTCAGCTGGCGGACCCTCAGTCGGCGGACGGAGGTGGCGGACCCTCAGTCGGCGGACGGAGGTGGCTGTCCCTCAGCTGGCGGACGGAGGTGGCTGTCCCTCAGCTGGCGGACCCTCAGTCGGCGGACGGAGGTGGCTGTCCATCAGCTGGCGGACCCTCAGTCGGCGGACGGAGGTGGCTGTCCCTCAGCTGGCGGACCCTCAGTCGGCGGACGGAGGTGGCTGTCCCTCAGCTGGCGGACGGAGGTGACTGTCCCTCAGCTGGCGGACCCTCAGCTGGCGGACGGAGGTGGCTGTCCCTCAGCTGGCGGACGGAGGTGGCTGTCCCTCAGCTGGCGGACGGAGGTGGCTGTCCCTCAGTCGGCGGACCCTCAGTCGGCGGACGGAGGTGGCTGTCCCTCAGCTGGCGGACCCTCAGTCGGCGGACGGAGGTGGCTGTCCCTCAGCTGGCTCAGTCGGCGGACGGAGGTGGCGGACCCTCAGCTGGCGGACCCTCAGTCGGCGGACCCTCAGGGGCGGCGGTTGGTGTCCCTCAGGTGGTGCGCGAGATGCCGCTGCCGGCCGTCCGGGTAACCCCCCCCCCCCCGGCACTCAGAGGGCCGTCCGGGTAACCCCCCCCCGGCACTCAGAGAGGGGTCCGGGTGACCCCCGCGGCACTCAGAGAGGGGTCCGGGTGGCCCCCGCGGCACTCAGAGGGCCGGCTGGGTGACCCCCGCGGCACTCAGAGGGCCGGCTGGGTGACCCCCGCGGCGTTCAGAGGGGCCGCCCGCCGGCGGGAGGAGCTCTGCCGGCCGACCGCCCGGCTGTTCTGCAGGCCGACCTTCATGCTGTGGCTGATCACCTGGGGGCCGAGCGGAGAGGGGTCAGCGGCCAGCGGTCAGCGGTCAGCGGTCAGCGGTCAGCGGTCAGCGGTCAGCGGCCAGCGGTCAGCGCGTCACTCTGGTGACCTCAGGTCTCACTCCAACGACTTCATCTCAGGTCACGTTAACGAAGCGCTCGAATGACGTCAGTTTGGTTGCTGCCAAACCAGTGTTCTTAGTTCAAGGCCCCAGCAGGCCCCAGCAGCACTTGAACATTTTCGTTGACAGTGATTCACGGGGGTCCGTGATTCCGTTCACATGCGTCCGGATCGCGTGGCTGGCCGGTTACGTTACTGGTTATTTGGACGGCTACTTGGTCGATTCTCTGGCCGGTTACCTGTCCAGTAACCGGCCAGACCGTTTACGTATTTGATGATCTGCCTTAACCCGCGCCGGGCCGGGGGGGGGGGGGTCTGAACACCCCCCTCTTACTCGGCTCCTGGGCCACGTAGCGACACGCAGTAAGCGGCATTCGAAAGAGCGTCAAAAATAATGACGGACGCACTTTGGATATTTTCTGGGTCAGGTCAAAGGTCAGGTCGCCAGAGGTCATCAAAGGTCAAATGTAGGTAGTCCATTTTAACAATTTTGGAAACTGCCAACGGCTAACTCCGAAACCAATAAAGCTACAGCGCCGCAGAAAAGCGCATTCGATAGCCCTTTTACAGACCTTTCTGGATAATATTCTCAGATTTGACCTCAGGTCAATAGTTTAGCCTCCAGAGGGCAGAAACTTGAAAAATAGCAGTTTTCACGAAAACTGTATTTCGGCAATAACTTTTGACACAAGAGTGCCACGACATTACTGTTGGCAGCATCGTGTTCCTCGCGTCGAGACGCGTCGAAAGAGCTATTTGTTGACCTTAAAAGGTCATTTTGAAAATTTGACCTCAAGTCAAGGGTCATGACCTGACCGAAAAGGGTCATGCTGCATATCAGTCGATCCGTATCGTCGAGCTGAATCCATCTGACGTGTTTTCACCGCTCTAGCACGTCCTTATCAGAAGTTATAGCCAAAAAATGCTGGTGACCGTTCATGACCTGAGATTACCTTAGGGCACACAGAGGGGTCACAGGTGCATTTTTCCGATTCAGTGTGTCATGTTTACCTATGAACCGATGTTTGAGAGGGTTTTGAACACTATTCGTCCAAAATAGGCGCCCGGGGGCGGTCAACGAGAGTCTGCCCGCCCGATAGTCCACTGACCTGAAACAGCCTGTGACATAGTCCACTGACCTGAAACAGCCTGTGCTGTAGTCCACTAACCTGGAACAGTCTGTGATATATGGGGGGATCCGTGCTATCGCAAGTTATATCGGACGTGGCTGCGCAACTTCTCTCGGTACGAAACTTCTCTTGATCGGAAGAAAATCGGAGGGATGAAAAAGAAAGAGCGGCCCATCGGAGCTACGTTGTACGTAAGTTGTTTCGCAGCGTTTAAATGCCAGTTTTACTACGATTTAAATGCCAAGCAGATCAGCTGACCTCGTAGTACCATGTCGATAAGATCGAATTCCCCATACGTCTATAGTGTAAAAGTGACCCCTATTGCAAATGGGCTGTCAGGGACATCTCCTCCTCTGTAAATTTGGAGGGACCATGTGTCGGCATTCCCACGTTCGTTTCGGAGTCCATCTGTTCCATTTGGAGCCCGTCAGTTGGCGTCAAGAGTTGGCGCAGCGAGCGCCCCGAAGACTGCGTCTGCGCACGAGGCTTCGCGATGGAGGAGTATTTTGACGAAATCGCCCTCGCTGCAGAAGAAATAGAGGGACTTGTTGAGAAAGAGGAGGCCGCAGTGTGCCGACGACTTTAACCCGCGACCTGGTGGGGGGGGGGGGGCTATTTTTTGCCCCCCCTCCAGACTTTTCGATATATATCCAGAACCACTCCGCCGATCGTCACCAAACTTTCAGTACCCTCCCGGACATCAATTTTAGACATTGTGACCAAAATTTTTTCCAAAGGCTATGATAGGTTGGCCGGAAATGACGTCAGAGTGACGTCATGTTCTGCCGTTTTCGACCCAAAAAAGGGTTTCGCGGGAAGAGCTGTCAGGCCTATAGCTTTGCAAATACAGAAAAATGATACAGACATAAAAGCTGTAGAATGAACAGGGCTACAAAACTGCTATCTCTGATTTTTGAAATTTTTGGATTTTGACCCCCAAAAATCAAAAAATAGTTTTTTTTTTAATATAATAGCCAAAAAATCCAAAAAGTTTTTTGAATTTCGAAAAAACCGGAATATATGTGATAGTCCTTACCGCCTTCTATCTACATACCAAATTTGAGATCGATACCTCTTTTTTTGGCCAAGTTATAGCGAAAAAACTGTTCAAAATTGATGACGTCAAATTTTCAAACTCAATTTTCAGCAATTCTAGACCTCGTAGCGCAAAACAAAGACCACCATTAGACTCCCCGTGACGAGCTGCATCGAATCAATACCCATTTTATGCAAAAATATCAACTTTGAAATTTGACCTTTTTGACCTGACCTTGACCTGACCTCCACCAGAAAGTGACCTAAACCGTACCTGATGGTCTTATAACCAACACCATTGAGTTGGAAATGAAAAACTGGCCATAAAACATGCATCGCATAACCTTAGTAAAGTTGGGTTCATGTGGTGACCCTTGGTGACCTTTGGTGACCTGACCTGTGACCTGACCTGGTATGACCAGTGACCTCTAACAGCAACATATCTACTAGGCAACTGACGCCCTATCGCTGATTCCCGACAAAATGCGTTTTTCTCGGTGTTATAGCGCATTCCCTAGAAGACCCGTGAACGGTGAAACATTTCATCTTTGACCTGACCTGTGACGTCATCGGTGACCCCGAGGTCAATAAAATTTGGTTTCCCTCGACAAATTTGACAGGCCTTTCGAACGCCGTTTGAATTTTTCGGATCCGTCCAGTAGTTTCGGAGATACGAGGGGGGGCAAAAAATAGCCCCCCCCCCCCCACCAGGTCGCGTTATAAACAGACCCCACCAGGGCGCGGGTTAAACTGTACGCCAACGCCAAGACCAAGGCAATCAGGGGGCGCTCAGATGATCGGGAGGTTTCAATTGATCAGGGACCCATCAGGTGACCAGGGAACCCTCTGGTAACCAGGGGCCCTTCCAGTAACCAGGGACTCCTTCAATAACCAGGGGCCCCTCAGTAAACGTGGGCCACTCGGGTTACTGCAAGAGACAGGAGTCCCTTATAACCAGGGACCGGCAAGGTCTTTCAGGTCCGTTTTTGACAAAGCTGTTATTGACGTCATATGCGAGCCCTTTGCCACCAGCAGAGGGCCCTTTCAAGCCTTTTTAGGGCCGTTTAACGTCTCTTAAGTTTCCTTTGAGGCTAAGGGCCTCTTCAGCAGCCGAGGGGTCTTTGAGACCTTTTTGAGGGCCTCTTAACGTCGGCTGAGGACCGTTGGACGCCATCTGAGGACCGTTTGGGGCCTTCTGATGGCCAGTAGATGCCAACTGAGGGCTCTCTGACACCAGCTGAGGGCACGCTGACACCAACTGGGGGCCTCCTGACACCAGCTAAGGGCGCTTTTATATTTGACACGAGCTCAGGGCCCTTTGACGCCCTTTGAGACCTTCTGAGGTCCGTTTGACGCCAGCAGAGGACCCTTTGGGGTCATATGAGGGCCCTTTGCTGCCTTCTAAGCGGCCTTTGAGGTTTTTTTAGGGCCGCTTGACGCCAGCTGAGGACCGTTGCGGTTGGACTCCAGTTACGGACCGTTTGAGGCCTTCTGATGGCCATTTTGCGCCAACTGAGGGCCCTCTGACACTAGCTGGAGGCCCTCTGACACCAGATAAGGGCCCTTTAAGGCCTTCTGAAGTCCGGTTAACGCTAGCGGAGTGCCTTTTGAGGCCAAATGAGGGCCCTTTGAGACCTTATAAAGGCTCCTTGAGGCTTTTGAGGGCCGCGTGACGGCATCTGAGGACCGTTGTACTCCAGCTGACGACCGTTTGAGGCCTTCAGATGGACTTTTGGCGCCAGCTGAGGAGGGCTCACTGACACCAGCTGGGGGCCCTCTGACACAAGCTAAGGACTCTTTAACCCGCGCACCGACGGGGGTCTGCGCCAACTTAGTACCGACGGGGGGGGGGGGGCGGATGACCGCCCCCCCCTGAGATCTCGAGAACGAAGCAAGATAGCGACAAGCGGTAAACGGCATCGGATACGCACGGTCAAGATCTACAATTTTTACTAAGGTCATTTTCAGGTCAGGTCAAAGATGACGTCACAGGGGTTGAAAAAGTCAAAATGGCGGCGCTAAATATGGAGAGAGTTTTTCTCGAATTACTTTCGAATTAGTCAAGATAGGAACAAACTAAGGGCATCATCGTGATCCTCTCGTCAATCCGCATCGAATGATATATATGTTGACCTCGAAAGGTCAAGGTCAAAGGTTGACCTCAGGTCACGTGACCTCGAGGTCATCATGTATATCATTCGATGCGTCTTGACGAGCTGAACACAATGAGACCATCCACGCGTCTGTATCTTGTTCCTGTACGGAGTTATTGGCCAAAAACCTTTGGTGACCTTTGATGACGTCACATGACCTCACAGCTGCCCAACAGCAAAACAGACCTCAAGGTAGTGAAGGTTGATCGTATATGAAGTCATGTATGGTATATGGGGCCATTCCGACCCGTTTTAGTGGTAAAAACAGGGAGTTGATTTTTCCCCCATTGACTTATAATGGGGAGGTCGCGAAATTGACCTGACCTTAGGTCACCGATATCAAAATTCCGAGATATACAAATTGTAGCTACTAATGACCTAATAACATCCTGCGACTTTCAAAGGCCTCCGACATCTACTGTAGCTCTGGCACGGTGACAAAGTTGCAAAAAAGTGACTTGAGGTTGGGTCATTCAAAGTGACCTGGTGACCTGACCTTGAAAGGTAGGAGGTTCAAACTTGCACACCATGTGTAAAATTAATAAGGGAATAGTCATACCAAATTTCGCGGCGCTACGCGCCGCGGTTTTCCCGCTATTCGCGAAAAACCTCAGGGGGGGGGGGGCGGATATCCGCCCCCCCCGTCGGTGCGCGGGTTATGGCCTTCGGAGGGTCGTTTGACGCGAGCTCAGGGCCCTCTGACGCAGGTTTAGGGCCCTTTGACGCCCTTTAAGGTCTTCTGAGGTAGGTTTAACGTTGGCTGAGAGCCCTTTGAACCCATCTGAGGGCCCTTTGAGAGTTGAGACCATCTTGTGGCCCTTCATTCGGCCATCTGAGGGCCATTTGACGCTAACCGAGGGCCCTTTGAGACCATCTGAGGACCCGGTGACCCCATCTGTGGGCCCTTTGAGGTCTTTTGAGGGCCATTGAAATTTCACCACAATACCCCTGGCTGCGCTACTGGGCATTTATGGACTCGTATGGGCCTGCTGGGGAACGAGATGGGCCTTCCCGGTCTTTTCAATCATTATTTCAGTTCATTTTACATGGTCTTCGGCGGTCTAAAGATTAGGGGCCCCAACTCGAATGGGGGGGAGGCCCGTGTGCCCTCTCCTGTGTGCGGCCTTGCCGACACTACACCGCTTCCCCTCCCTCCGCCATAAACGCACCGCTGCACTGTTAGGCGCCGACAAATACGGACCGGCGCCGCAACCGGCTCCCCCGCGGCCTGCCTCGCGTTGACATAGCCCTTCCCGAACACCAGTGTAACCCCCACGCGGCCTAGGTATCGCCGCGCCCACCTGTCCGCGGCGCGGCCTCTGATGACGTATCGGATCATTGCTGGTGCGATACATGTTTTGGTCAGATTTTCGCAATTAACGCGAAAAATTGCCCAAAACACTTTAAATTTCAAATTTGAAAAAAAAAAAATAATTACAAAAAGGACGTGAAAGTGACCGTTTTCAACGTGTAAATTTAAAACGCTCTAGCGCAGCCATTTTTGAAGAAATCGACTTCAAATTTTGCACACGTGTTCATCAACCATATTTGTTTAACATATATTTCGGTTTTGTGAAAATTTTGAAAATTTCTTATATTTTTCTCTTGAAAAAGAGGTAAAGCTTCGCTACGATCGGCCTTCCGATCGACCGAGAAGATTCGTAAAGTTAGTTCGTATCTTCACCATTTGCGACACAACTTCCGTATCTACTTAGCCTACGATGTGATGGATCCCTCCAATATCTGTTCCGATTCAACTTACGTTTGATCGCAACTGCGAGGTGCCTTGCGATCATATGGATCCCCCCTATAGTCCACTGTCTCCACTGACCTGGAACAGTCTGTGATGTAGTCCACTGACCTGGAACAGTCTGTGATGTAGCTCACTGACCTGGAACAGTCTGTGATGTAGCCCACTGACCTGGAACAGTCTGTGATGTAGCTCACTGACCTGGAGCAGTCTGTAATGTAGCTCACTGACCTGGAACAGTCTGTGATGTAGCCCACTGACCTGGAACAGTCTGTGATGTAGCTCACTGACCTGGAACAGTCTGTGATGTAGCCCACTGACCTGGAACAGTCTGTAATGTAGCTCACTGACCTGGAACAGTCTGTGATGTAGCCCACTGACCTGGAACAGTCTGTGATGTAGTCCACTGACCTGGAACAGTCTGTGCTGTAGTCCACTGACCTGGAGCAGCCTGTAATGTAGCTCACTGACCTGGAACAGTCTGTGATGTAGCCCACTGACCTGGAACAGTCTGTGATGTAGCTCACTGACCTGGAACAGTCTGTGATGTAGCCCACTGACCTGGAACAGTCTGTGATGTAGCTCACTGACCTGGAACAGTCTGTGATGTAGTCCACTGACCTGGAACAGTCTGTGCTGTAGTACACTGAACTGGAGCAGCCTGTAATGTAGCTCACTGACCTGGAACAGTCTGTGATGTAGCCCACTGACCTGGAGCAGTCTGTGATGTAGTCCACTGACCTGGAACAGTCTGTGATGTAGTCCACTGACCTGGAACAGTCTGTGATGTAGTCCACTGACCTGGAACAGTCTGTGCTGTAGTCCACTGACCTGGAACAGTCTGTGATGTAGTCCACTGACCTTGAACAGTCTGTGCTGTAGTCCACTGACCTGGAACAGTCTGTGATGTAGCTCACTGACCTGGAACAGTCTGTGCTGTAGTCCACTGACCTGGAACAGTCTGTGATGTAGTCCACTGACCTGGAACAGTCTGTGCTGTAGTCCACTGACCTGGAACAGTCTGTGATGTAGCTCACTGACCTGGAACAGTCTGTGCTGTAGTCCACTGACCTGGAACAGTCTGTGATGTAGTCCACTGACCTGGAACAGTCTGTGCTGTAGTCCACTGACCTGGAACAGTCTGTGATGTAGCTCACTGACCTGGAACAGTCTGTGCTGTAGTCCACTGACCTGGAACAGTCTGTGCTGTAGTACACTGAACTGGAGCAGCCTGTAATGTAGCTCACTGACCTGGAACAGTCTGTGATGTAGCTCACTGACCTGGAACAGTCTGTGATGTAGCCCACTGACCTGGAGCAGTCTGTGATGTAGCTCACTGACCTGGAACAGTCTGTGCTGTAGTCCACTGACCTGGAACAGTCTGTGCTGTAGTACACTGAACTGGAGCAGCCTGTAATGTAGCCCACTGACCTGGAACAGTCTGTGATGTAGCTCACTGACCTGGAACAGTCTGTGATGTAGCCCACTGACCTGGAACAGTCTGTAATGTAGCTCACTGACCTGGAACAGTCTGTGATGTAGCCCACTGACCTGGAACAGTCTGTGATGTAGCTCACTGACCTGAAGCAGTCTGTAATGTAGCTCACTGACCTGGAACAGTCTGTGATGTAGCCCACTGACCTGGAACAGTCTGTGATGTAGCATACTGACCTGGAGCAGTCTGTGATGTAGTCCACTGACCTGGAACAGTCTGTGCTGTAGTCCACTGACCTGGAGCAGCCTGTAATGTAGCTCACTGACCTGGAACAGTCTGTGATGTAGCCCACTGACCTGGAACAGTCTGTGATGTAGCTCACTGACCTGGAACAGTCTGTGATGTAGCCCACTGACCTGGAACAGTCTGTGATGTAGCTCACTGACCTGGAACAGTCTGTGATGTAGTCCACTGACCTGGAACAGTCTGTGCTGTAGTACACTGAACTGGAGCAGCCTGTAATGTAGCTCACTGACCTGGAACAGTCTGTGATGTAGCCCACTGACCTGGAGCAGTCTGTGATGTAGTCCACTGACCTGGAACAGTCTGTGATGTAGTCCACTGACCTGGAACAGTCTGTGATGTAGTCCACTGACCTGGAACAGTCTGTGCTGTAGTCCACTGACCTGGAACAGTCTGTGATGTAGTCCACTGACCTTGAACAGTCTGTGCTGTAGTCCACTGACCTGGAACAGTCTGTGATGTAGCTCACTGACCTGGAACAGTCTGTGCTGTAGTCCACTGACCTGGAACAGTCTGTGATGTAGTCCACTGACCTGGAACAGTCTGTGCTGTAGTCCACTGACCTGGAACAGTCTGTGATGTAGCTCACTGACCTGGAACAGTCTGTGCTGTAGTCCACTGACCTGGAACAGTCTGTGATGTAGCCCACTGACCTGGAGCAGTCTGTGATGTAGTCCACTGACCTGGAACAGTCTGTGATGTAGTCCACTGACCTGGAACAGTCTGTGCTGTAGTCCACTGACCTGGAACAGTCTGTGATGTAGCTCACTGACCTGGAACAGTCTGTGCTGTAGTCCACTGACCTGGAACAGTCTGTGCTGTAGTACACTGAACTGGAGCAGTCTGTAATGTAGCTCACTGACCTGGAACAGTCTGTGATGTAGTACACTGAACTGGAGCAGTCTGTGATGTAGCCCACTGTCTCCACTGACCTGGAACAGCCTGCGCCAGGCGGCCTCGGCGCCGTCGCTCCACTGGTCCGCCGCCACCAGGCTGGGGCGGATCACCATTATGAACTGTTCTCCCATCAGCTGTCGGCAGAACAGGGACGCCGTTTGTCGCTACTGTAATCCCGCAGCAGAGCGCAGCAGCACATCTCTATTAGGTATGTACTCGTACAGCCTACTCACGTCGATGTACTGTGGTTTGGCGCCGTAGGCGACGTGTCGGCAGCCGAGCTCGGTCATCAGCGGCCCGTACTTGTCCTCCGAGTCCAGGCGGCAGATGATCTTGTTGACGAAGCCCATCACCCTGCCAGTGGGGGCGCGCTGCCACGTCAGTACTGACGTCACACCCTGCCAGTGGGGGCGCGGTGCCACGTCAGTACTGACGTCACACACTGCCAGTGGGTGTGCGGTGCCACGTCAGTACTGACGTCACACACTGCCAGTGGGTGTGCGGTGCCACGTCAGTACTGACGTCACACACTGCCAGTGGGGGCGCGCTGCCACGTCAGTACTGACGTCACACACTACCAGTACCGCTCTGTGACGTCACACACTGCCAGTACCGCTCTGTGACGTCACACACAGCCAGTAATGCTCTGTGACGTCACACACTGCCAGTACCGCTCTGTGACGTCACACACTGCCAGTACCGCTCAGTGACGTCACACACTGCCAGTACTGCTCTGTGACTAGGTAAGATTGTTAAAGTACCACATGTGCTTGTTAACCCGCGCCCCACTGGGGGGGGGGGCTATTCATAGCCCCCCTCCCGTTTTTCTGCAATAACTTCGAAACCACTTAACGTATCGACGCCAAACTTTCAGTATCTTCAGCTGCATCAATTTGACACCTTGTGTAAAAATATGAACTTCGTAACTACCATAGGTCGGCTGGGAATGACGTCAGAGTGACGTCATGTTTGGCCGATTTCGACGCAAAACATTGAACCACGGCAATCGCTCCTAAGAGCTCCGTTTTTAAGCTAGATCCAATTTCTTTGCATGAGAGGACTCACAATAGACTGCGCTATCAAACTGCTATCTCGGATTTTCAAGGTTTTGAAAATTTTATAGAATAAAATTCAAAATTTTTATTTTTATATTTTTCAAAAACTATTTGACTTTGCAAAAAACGTAAAATATTTGATAGAATACTTATGACTTACTCAAGCAAGTTTTAGCAAAATATTTTCAAAAATGGCCAAGTTATACGCATAATTGCAAAAAATCACAATTGTAAATTTTTCAAATTATTTTTGAGTACGTTTTTGACATCCTACACCAATATAAATAGCAGCATCGTGTTCCTGAGCTCAAACTGCATCCCATAGACACCTTTCTTTGTTGAAAAATTTCAACTTCTAACTTTGACCTTTTTTGACCTGAAAGTGACCTGACCTAAGCTAAATTCAACTCAAAATGACCTCACATGTCACAAACGACATCAAATTCGAAATCTATGGCCTAAATGGACCATAAAACATGTGTCACGTGACCGACGCATGATATAGGGGAAGGTGGGGTAAGATGGCCCAGCGCGGCAAGACGGACCACCAGCCCTCCCGGCTGAGCCGCTGCTGGTATCTACTGCTTTATGCACTCACTATGTTTGTTTTCCTTCGTAACAATGGCCACCTTGAGCTCATGCTGCTAGGATGCATAGCTTTTGAGTTATTGAGAAAAATGTTGTTTTTCGTCAAACTGATCTAATATAAGAGGTCTATGGGTGATTCAATTACGGCGCCTTTCTTGCATGATTAGTTTCTATTTTCCATTTAACTGTGAAGAACAAAGTTATAAACTTAGTCACACTTTAGGAAAGGCAAGGTTTTGCAATGTTGGGCTATTTGACATATACGTCATGATAATGACATAATTTAGATTTGGGGCAAGACGGACCACTGTGGTCCATCTTACCCTGTGGTGGTCCATTGTACCCTGCATATGGAAAGTTATTTTCCAAAACATTGACACAAGTTTAAGTAAGCTAATTTTTCAGGAAGGAGTCTTTGTTGCATGTGAGCCATGTGTTTCCACAATCGCCCTTCGCCCATATCTTCAGACGCGTCCTGAGTCCCTACTGCCTTGACGTCAAATAAACCAAAATAAAATAAAAAAGGAAAGTCATGAAACAAATGGTATTCAAGGAGCAGCAAGCAGGCAGTGATATACCAACAGACAGTCGGTCGGAGAGAAACAGACGGACGGTTTTCTGCAAACAATCACAGATGGGAATTACACTCAGTATGGGCACATCACGTACTGCATCCATAGTTATGTCAAGAATTGCTGTTAACTCCGTATAAACACAGCAATAAACCTTCAATCAACATTAAGTCAAGGTTGACGTCTGACAATCATTACTTTAACAGTTCAAGTTCATTGATGTTAGCACGCAATCAACAGTCGGCTAATTTGCATCCTTAAATTAACAGTTGTACTGACCAGATATGTTTGGGCACGACGGTGGAACAAAACAGTGGCAGCGGCTGGCTCAATCTCAGTCCGCACTCGTAGGTCCGCGGCTCAGCTGGCTCACACTCAGCTGGACGGCCCTAGAACCACCCCAAACATATGTATAAACGTTGTCTACTTTGACAATGATAAACTAATGACGGTAAACAGCAAAACTAAAGAACCTGCACCCAGTAGTACAGTAAATCAAAGTACAAAATTGAAAGCGCGACGAAAGTGGCGCTACGTTGGTTTGTTGCCATTTCCGCTGAATTCAACATCGCTCACAGCTAACAGAAAATATATCAGACAATACTAATTGCGCTAGCTATCACTTGGATGCATTCATTAAACATTTCAGACAATCATCAATAAGAAAATGAAAGCATACGTACGACAGCCCTCGACACCAGTGGTTCATTCAAGAATGAGCCTGCGTGGTCGACAATTTGGATGCGTCTCGTGCGCCAAACTCGTCAAAGACACGCGAGCAAACGCGGCCACTAAATGACGGGCCGGCTCCCGAACGTAAAGAGCCGCCAGATTTCTCACAAACGGTGACCGGTCGCAACATCCTCCCCCCTAGTTTTCGGACGAACCGAAAACTCACACATTGAGCGACCGAATATGCAATACCAAATGCTCTCACAGCAAGGTAACGAAAGACAAATTCTTCTCACAGCATTGCAAACAGCAATTGTCCGCTCTTGCACACGCGACTGCATGGCCGCCAGGTAAGCACAAAACGCACTGTGCGCGCAGTCCGAAGTCACGCACTAACGCCGTTCACCGATGCCGGTCACGGTAACGCATCACCACCGCACGAGGCAGTCTGAGGCCGAAGGCGCCGCCCCCGGGCGGCATGGTCATTTCTCCGCGCACCACGCACAGTCACATCGCACGGTAGTAGCCGAGCCGAAGATGCTGCGCGCCGCCAGCCGACACGACCGCTCGGGCAGCAGCGCGCACGAAGTACACCATCCTCGTAGGTCCGTGTGTGCCGTCGTGCACACCAGGACGGCACGCCGTAGTCCAGCGATGAGTCGCCGGCTCCAGCTCGGCGAAGAAGACGATCCATGTCCGAGACGCCGCCTCGCCAGTCGGAGACAGCAGCCCAGTAGTCCGACGTCCAGTCCAGGCCCGCGATCGCTGCTGCTTTCCAGGATCACAGGCACGAGGAGGGTCGGAAATGGTTATAAATACGGCTAAGGATTCAATGACAATGGGAAGGGGTAACAAAACAAAACAAAACAAAACAAAACAAAACAAAACAAAACAAAACAAAACAAAACAAAACAAAACAAATAAAATAAATACGTGTGGGTATCATGACACAAAATGCAGTGCTCATCAGTGCAAAACGATGACTCATCGGCAGCTTTACTGGGAACTAGACCTCTCTAGCACACAAAGCTTGTGGCTGGGTCTCTTGTACACCCCAGTCGGTGTACGGACGAGGACCGAACGCACGGTCCCATCAGCGCTTGGGTAGGTCTCCTGTACCACACCAAGAGGCCAGAAGCCTCTAGGCGTGTCCTCCGTCATCACCAGGACGACATCATCCACGGCGAGATTTGGTCTCTCCTTGTTCCATTTCTTGCGCGAGATGAGAGTCGGCAGATACTCCCGCAACCACCTTCTCCACACTTGATTCGTGAGCATCTGCACATGCCGCCAACGTTTGCGGGTCGTGTCGCCGTCCTCGAAGACGCCCGGAGGAAGTCCTGACGCGCTCGCCGTCTCTCCAGCAAGAAGGAAGTGGTTTGGAGTGATCGACTCCGGATCGCTGTTGGCTCCTGAGACGTAGGTGAGCGGGCGTGAATTTATGACATACTCCACCTCGACGACAGTCGTGTGCAGGACATCGTCGGACACCGTCTGATTTCCCAACACGGCACGGAGGGCCCTCTTCACCGAGGCGACGAGCCTTTCCCAGGCACCACCCATATGACTCGCCGTCGGTGGATTAAACTTCCACACGATGTCCATCTGGCTGAGAGACTCGTCGATCTTCCGCTGATTCCATTCAGCTAACGCCTCTCGCAGCTCTCGCTCTCCGCCCACCAGGTTGGTGCCATTGTCAGAGCAGATACACCTCGGCCTCCCTCGCCGTCCGATGAACCTGCGCAGAGCAAGTAGAAAGGAATCGGTGTCCAATCCATGGGCGACTTCAAGATGTATCGCCCGCGTAGCGAGGCATGTGACGAGCAGGACATACCGTTTTTTCCGTTTTCCGGAACTTTCGGACTGTCAAAGGTCCAAGGAAGTCCAGACCGCAGTTTGCGAAGGGTCTATCCATTTCAACTCTGACCCTTGGGAGAGCCGCCATCTCAGGACACACTGGCTGAGCTCGCCTGTTGCGGCACACAGCACAGCTCCGTAGAATCCTCTTCACTGTTGATCTCGCCTTCGGAGTCCAGAACCTGTACCGAAACTGGTTCAGAGTGTGGCTCATTCCCGCGTGCATGGATCTCACGTGAAGATCTGAGACGATCAGTCGCGTAACATCACTGGAGGGATGCAACACGATCGGCTCTCGGGAGATCTCAGCCAGTGGTGCACTACCAAGGCGACCCTTCGCCCTGATGAGGCCCTGGTCGTCACGAAAGAGAGACAGGTCAGTTGGCGAGTCGAGCGCCATCTTTGCCTGGTCTTCCCGAAAGATCAGGAGTTCTGCTCTCTTCAGCTCGTCGACGTTCAGCACTCCGCTCTGCTTGGGCTTCTTTGTTATCGCTGATCTGAGATTGCTGACGAACCGCAGAGACAAGGCCACTACTCGCCGGTACTTGCTCCACGACGAGTAGGCCGAAGGATCCACGAGCCTGGACTGCGAATCACCGACGAAGGCGACTATCGTCTTCACAGAGGTCCTCCTGAGTTCAGGTTGCTCTGGATGGAGACCCGGGATCCGCGTCTTCGGCCACTCTTGTTCGTCTTGGGTCAGGAATTCGGGTCCCGATCACCAGAGGTCACACTCCTTCAGCATCGAGGCTGACATCCCTCGAGAGGCTATGTCCGCTGGGTTCTGCTTTCCTGGTACATGTTTCCAATCAGATGGTTTACACGATTCTCTAATCTCCGCTACCCTGTTGGCGACAAAGGTACGGAACGTGCGACTTTCGTTAGAGATGAACTGGAGCACCACCTGACTGTCCGTCCAGAACACAGTTCGGCTGAAGGCATACGACATCTCCTTCCTGATGATGCCCGCCAAACGCACCGCCAAGACCGCCGCCTGCAGCTCAAGACGCACAATGAACAACTGCTTGAGCGGAGCCAATCGCGAGCGCGACATGATGAGGGCACTGTGGTGGTGACCCGCGGCGTCTGTGAACCTGACGTACCCTGCGGTGGCAAAGGCACGCTCTGAAGCGTCAGCGAACAGATGCAGTTCGACCGTGTGAACCTCTTCAGTGACAGCAGACTTCAAGCATCGAGGTACAGCCAGATCTTCCAGATAGGACAGTTCTCCCAGCCAGTTCTTCCATATCACCAGCTCTTCTTCGGGCATGTCTTCGTCCCATGCCAGCTTCTTCTGCCACAGCGTCTGTATGAGGCACTTGGCGATCAGCACAAACGGAGTGATGATCCCAAGCGGATCAAAGAGCATGGCTGTTCTCTGCAACACCCCTCGCTTCGTAGAGGCCACATCAACCTCTTTCACACGGACACTGAGAGTGTCCGCGCTGGGGGACCACACACAACCCAGCGCCTTTTGCGGTGTACCTTTTACCAACGTGAGAGTCTTCTGACTGACGTCACGGTCGTCTTCTTCAATGTCTTCCAGCAGCCCTGGCAGATTGCTGCGCCACTTGGTTAGGCGGAACCCTCCTTGGCGCAAGAGGGTCGTGACTTCCCGGCGCGCAGCCCTTGCTGCTTCCACACTTGGTTCCGACCGAAGGTAGTCATCCATGTAGAAGCTTGCTACCAGTGACTCACGATCAACTTCGGTCCCCCCGGTCCCAGGGTTCTCCGTCAGAGCGCGGCGCAGGATGTGATTGGCCACGGTAGGGCTACACTTGGCCCCGAATATCACAACACACATTTGGTACATGTCGGGAGGTTTCTTGAGGTCGATACTCCTCCACAGAAAGGAGAGTGCTGGCTGGTCCTGTGGACGCACTCTAATCTGGTGAAACATCTGATAGATGTCAGCGACAAGGGCGCACTGCTCCTCCCTGAAACGTAGCAGAACTGCACACAGGTTCTGGAGCAAGTCAGGTCCTTTGAGGAGTTCCGTGTTGAGAGAAATCCCGTCCTGTTCGGCAGCCGCATCAAACACCACACGAGGCTTCGGCTTGTCCGGCCGTGTGACAGCGTGATGAGGAAGCAGCCATCTTTTCTTCTCCTTGAGCTGCTTCTCTTCTGAGGAGACCTTTCGGGCGTATCCCTGATCCACGTATCCTTCAATGACCTCAGAATACAGCTTGGCTTTCTCTGACTTCCGCATCAGGCTGTGTTCCAACGACGTGAGACGCTTTAGAGCCATCTTGTGGTTGTCTGGCATCTCCGCTTGCTCGTCACGCCAGGGCAGACCGACTTCGTAGCTGTCACCCACTCGCCTTGTCGTTTCCTCCAGGATCTTCATTGTCTTCACATCTTCTGGGGAGAGCCCATCTCCGGCGAGCTTGGTCCCGAAGGCCTCTGTACTCCACCAGTCCTGGAGAGTGTCGGTGAGTTCTTGGTCTGCTTTCTGGAGAAACATCACTTCTTTGGGTCCGTCTGGCTTACAACCGAAGACACTCCCGGTCAGCGACCATCCGAAGGCGGTCCTGATGACTGTTGGCTGCCCACGTTGACCTACCCTGGCCTCCGTCTGAAGTACTGCTTCCAAGCAGTTGGCGCCCAACAAGAGCTCTACTTCTCCAGCTGTGCATTCTGGAATGCTGAGATCCTGCAGGTGCTTCCACTCGTGTCTGTTCCTGGCGCTGACTGTAGGCGTCGTCACATTAACTCTCGTAACAGAGTAGGCTTCTGGGACGCAGATCATCCGGGAGCGGTCTTCCGTCTCTGCCAGGGGACTCACTGTCAGCTGGACACGCTGTGACGCCTTCTCTTCGCCATCAGACTCCACGTTGCGCAGACGGAGTGACTGCGGTTGTCCGGTGATGTTCAGCTCTTGCAGTGCGGATGCGAAGCAGAGTGATGTTTGTGCACCTGGGTCCAGCAGAGCCAGAGTGTCCCTTTTCTTGCCGTTTGCTCCATGGATACGGACGGGTACCACTTGCAGTAGGACCGTTGGCGACGCCCTGTCTTCGTTGATGAATGAGGCGACAGTGTGCTGACTTGCTTCTAACTGAGCAGGCCGTTCCGTAGATGCTGTAGTATCTGGTCCTTGCCCGAGCCGCCTCAGCCTCTTACTCCCGTGCAGGAGTCTGTGGTGCCTCAGCCGGCAGCCTTGAATGTCACATGTTCTTGCTGATCGACATTCTCTGCTGCGGTGTCCCACTCTCAAGCAGCTGAAGCAGGCGCGCTGGCTCGCGACAACCTGCGCACGCTCGTCTGCGTTCTTCGCTTTGAAGCTGGCGCAATCCCACAGACTGTGGCTCGAGCCACAACAAACGCAGTCGGTCCTCGGACTCTGAGTTGTAGCGAATGCCGACGCAACTCGCGGCTCAGGTGTAAAGCCTCCACGACGAGTCGGGCGAACGGGTCCTGGTCTGTCTGGAGCTGAAACACAATGCAGGGAGATCCTTACCTGCAGCTTCAGCCACTCGTTGAATTCCAGCAGACTCGCTCTGGCTTCGAGGCTGACAGCATGTTTAGCCCATTCCCGTTTCAACTCACTTGGGAGCTTGTCGACCAGTCTCCGAAGATTCTCCTGACTGTACAGGTCTCCCTTGAAGTCAAGTCTGTCCAGAACAGTGACAGCTGAGTTGACATCAGCGTAGAACTGCTCCAGAGTCCTGATGGTGGGAGATGGGTGCCTGAAAATGGTGTTCAACTTCGCTCGAACAATGTCCTGCTCTCGACCAAACCGCTCTTCCAGTATCTGCAGGGCTTCAGGATACAGGCTCGGATCACACATCATACCACTGATCAGCTGCCGAGGAAGGCCGGTCACTGAAGACTGTAAAAACACCATCTTCTCTGCAGCACTCAGCGACATCTGGTCATGCACAAGGGCCTTAAACAAACCAAACCATGTCGGCCACTCACTTGGATCACCCGAGAAGGTACGCAGCTGGCTCACACTCAGCTGGACGGCCCTAATAGGCGAGGCAGACTCCTGCCGACATCATGAGTCACACCTGGATCTTGAGGAGCTTCCCTGACCGGCTGGGCCATCTTCTCATCCCCGCCCACACACATCACCTTCGGTTCGTTCAACTCCAACTTGTCTTCCTTTCCTGTGATCTTCTCATCAGCAAAGTCATCTTTTCTTTCCCAGGCCAGACCACTCTCTGCCGCTTTACGTAGGGTTGCTTCTAGCCTGGCTGCTTCTACCTCATCTTGCACAGCCTGCAGTTTGTGCTTCTGCTTGAGTGCTTCTTCCTCCTTTTCTTGTGACAACTGCTGAGTTAGCTGCTCCAGCTTCAGCTGTTTCAACTTCAGTTGGATTTCTGCCTCTCTGGTCCCCATGGATGCAGCTGAGGTTCCTGACTGCTGAGTTGCACTCTTTTTGCTTGGCCCAGAAACAACTGATTGAGGCTGATCCTTTCTCTCTTCCAGATATTCACCAATTCTTTCCACAGTGTTGTCATAGGACTGGATGGCTTCATTGTAGGTTTTCTCAGCAGTCTGAGTTTGCTCTTCATTTACAAGTACTTCAAAATAAGCATGATGTGCTTCTGTGACGCTATCTGCAGCAGCATCAAGATCTTTCAACAAGCTTGTCAGCTCTGTACGACTGCCCCTTGCATTCACAATCACAAGAGCACGCCTCCTGAGATTGGTGAGGGATCCTAGTCGTCTGGCCCGAACATTTTTCAACTTTCGCACTTCAGACAAATCCATCTTGCCATATGTGAACAGTGCACAACTACTCAACAAACATCTTGATCTTACAGAGGCATTTCACAGCACACCTGACAACTTGAACCCACTTGCAAACTTGCACATCTGAAACTTCCTTCATTTCTGGTAGCTATCAAACATCAGAACTTCTTCACAACGTCTGAAACTTCTGACCAGATATCTGAAAACTGTTTCCACAATCGCCCTTCGCCCATATCTTCAGACGCGTCCTGAGTCCCTACTGCCTTGACGTCAAATAAACCAAAATAAAATAAAAAAGGAAAGTCATGAAACAAATGGTATTCAAGGAGCAGCAAGCAGGCAGTGATGTACCAACAGACAGTCGGTCGGAGAGACAAACAGACGGACGGTTTTCTGCAAACAATCACAGATGGGAATTACACTCAGTATGGGCACATCACGTACTGCATCCATAGTTATGTCAAGAATTGCTGTTAACTCCGTATAAACACAGCAATAAACCTTCAATCAACATTAAGTCAAGGTTGACGTCTGACAATCATTACTTTAACAGTTCAAGTTCATTGATGTTAGCACGCAATCAACAGTCGGCTAATTTGCATCCTTAAATTAACAGTTGTACTGACCAGATATGTTTGGGCACGACGGTGGAACAAAACAGTGGCAGCGGCTGGCTCAATCTCAGTCCGCACTCGTAGGTCCGCGGCTCAGCTGGCTCACACTCAGCTGGACGGCCCTAGAACCACCCCAAACATATGTATAAACGTTGTCTACTTTGACAATGATAAACTAATGACGGTAAACAGCAAAACTAAAGAACCTGCACCCAGTAGTACAGTAAATCAAAGTACAAAATTGAAAGCGCGACGAAAGTGGCGCTACGTTGGTTTGTTGCCATTTCCGCTGAATTCAACATCGCTCACAGCTAACAGAAAATATATCAGACAATACTAATTGCGCTAGCTATCACTTGGATGCATTCATTAAACATTTCAGACAATCATCAATAAGAAAATGAAAGCATACGTACGACAGCCCTCGACACCAGTGGTTCATTCAAGAATGAGCCTGCGTGGTCGACAATTTGGATGCGTCTCGTGCGCCAAACTCGTCAAAGACACGCGAGCAAACGCGGCCACTAAATGACGGGCCGGCTCCCGAACGTAAAGAGCCGCCAGATTTCTCACAAACGGTGACCGGTCGCAACACCATGCATGCAAGTGCTCAGTTAGCATGCATTTATGCCAAACGACAATCAACACACATGTTCCCAGCTTTTAGCTGCACTTCCATCACACATGAGTAAAGAATAAAGGCTCATTTTGTTATTTTGCCATTCTGGTTACTTTTTCTTACAAGAGTACAGAGCAGAAGTGTAACACACATGAACGAGCAGGCACTGCTGGGTGATCCGTCTTACCCCACGTTTTTTCTTTCTGAGTTTTTGACATGTCCCTCTTTAAGAGCATCCACCACCTAGATGTCTTTAATTTCAAATTTAGTCTTTACACATATCAACAGAGGAAGGATTGAGCATTCCGAAGACTATAAATAATATGAATTACGAGAGCAGTGTAGCAAGATATGCGGCCTCAAACCTTAGCTGGTCCGTCTTACCCCACCTTCCCCTAATATTTCCGTGACCTGTGAAGACCTGACTTTGACCTGCAAGTCAAAGTACAAGTTTGGTACCCTCAGGGTATCTAAAGTATCTGTTCACGAGTGTGTGAACCAAAAATGAGCCTGATCTGGCGTGTAAGACGGTGGCCAGAGCCCAAAATGTGAAGAAGCCAAAATGCTAATAATTTTTACTTTGACCTGACCTGTGACGTCATCGGTGACCTCGAGGTAAATGAAATTAGGTTTCGTTCGACAGTTTTTCCGGGGCTATCAGACGTCGTTTGAATTTTGACGATCGGCCCAGTAGTTTCTGAGTTAGGAGGGGGGCTATGAAGAGCCCCCCCCCCCCAGTAGGGCGTGTTATACGCAGACCCCAGTGGGGCGCGGGTTAAGTTAAGTGTAGCATCCACATTTTAAGATATAGCATTATGCAATATATTTTATATTTGCATCATGGTTTGATTTGAGTTACACTGATGGCTGAAATTACCCAAAACGACGCGACGGTAGACCAGCTGTTGACGGCGCACATCGAGAGCAATGATTCCAATCTCCCCCCCCCCCCCCTTCCTCGGGATGGATGGGCCTATCGACACATCGCACCGGCCGCCGGGGACAGATAGGTCTGTAAATACTCTACCCCTTGGTGGTGGAGAGGTCAGTGGATACAGAGGTTCGGGATCCATCAGCATTCAGCGTCCTCGAGATACATGTGCCATTAGCCTTATTGTCTCGGAGACAACTGGCTGAACAGCGGCAGATTCTGGAAGGTCGCGTCCAGCCTATTTCATCGCCCGGCGGCGCCGCGGCGTGGTGAACAACATGAAGCTGACGCTCTCATATTGTGTTTCCGAAAAACTCCTTAGCAGCCACACTTTACGACTTTCTAACAGGTCCCGATTTTCCCGACTTTGGGTCATTGACCTGACCTGGAAGGTCAACCAATGATCTAGGACCTTAAAATTGGGTATCATCGGCTTCCTCTCGTCACGGGCAACACGCTCGTTTTTTCTGCGAAGCTCTAGCTCGATCAGGGGCCAAACGGCAAGGGGGGGTCCAACCGGCGACCCCCCCCCCCCCTACACATTAGAAGCTGGCAAATGCCGCACACATGCGAGGGTTAAAATCGGATACCAATCTCTGCGTCTCGTAACGGCGCACACGCTCGTTTTTTCCGCGACGCGCTAGCTCCACCGGGGGCGAAACGGCGAGGGGGCGGGGTCCGTACCCGCCCATCCCCCCCCTCGGCCGGCGCGTATGTAGAAAACCAGGGATGCGGAGCCGGAGCCGGAGTCGGAGCCGGAGCCGCCGGAGCCGGCATATTTTGCCCGGAGCCGGAGCCGGAGCCGGAGCCGTGAAACAATATAGCCCGGAGTCGGAGCCGGAGCCGGAGCCGCCAAAAAAGGGGGCGACTCCGGCTCCTTTTTATTTTTTGAAGAGGAAAAAAATAATTGACCTAGTTCGGTTTGACAGTACAAGGCAGTAAAATATATGGTACTTACGTCATGGGCCATCAAGTGAATGAAAAAATCCGAATATCCCCAGTATTCCACAGTACGCAAACAACTTCCTGTTTGCTCTTCCCCCCCCCCCCCCACGTCTACTGCATCCCCAGAACATGAGGACCAGTCATCAGGTGACGGCCATTGTTTTCAAACCAGTGCAGTGGACTGCGACTCCCAGCACCGTCTCATCCCACACACCCCCCACCCCTCACCCCCCAATGCAGCCGAGACGGGTGTCAGCTTACGATGGTTCACTGAACTCCGATTCGCGGCGACTGCGTTTCCAATGCCATCGCTTCCTAGCCCTTTGTTCTGCCGGTTCTCTCCGAGGTGCGTTTGCGCGGGGACGCGGTGAGCCGGTCATGGCAAAGAGTAACGCGTATAACCAATCCAATTTTTCTTCCACCCGTATTTAATTGATTGCATAGGGGATGTACTGAGTCGGAGCCGGAGCCGCCGGAGCCGGAGCCGCCGGAGCCGGACCATTTTACTCGGAGCCGGAGCCGGAGCCGGAGCCGCCATAACATTTCACCCGGAGCCGGAGCCGGAGCTGGAGCCGATTTTTTTCTCCGGAGCCGGAGCCGGAGCCGGAGCCGTCTGAAATTTCCACGGCTCCGCATCCCTGTAGAAAACCAATAGGTCCGGCGAGGGCTAAGAGAGTTTGACTTTTTACGCCAGCACATATGTATTTCTAAGAAAGAAGGTGTACCATTTTTATCGGCAGCGTTCTTTCCAGATCTAGGTGACCTTCAGCCGGCGGTGCGGAATACGGGGGCATCACGTAATGTGGAAAAAGCTTCACATTTGCATAGGCTGCGGGCTGCTGGCTTTAGTCCTGCTTTTTATGCATGAGACACGCGGATGAAAAAGAATGGCGAACCTACACGCCTCTGAATCATGTTTAAAGCAGCGTTGCGGCTAGTGTTCTGTCCGCATCGGTAAACATCAGTGGTCACCCCTCGGCTGTCTGCGGCCACCGCAGTGAGCGGAGCCTACAGCGGTCATCAGTTGCCATGACAACGCCAGGTGCCTATGAAAGGACGAACACGTAAATACATCGGCACCCGAGTACAGATGAAGCACCATTCCACAAAATAAATGTTCATCAAGGGCAAATTTGGGACAATGTTTTGGAAGGTGACACTTTTCTCAAACTAAATTACCTTGTTTTTTTTTCGGTCACGCACGAGATTTTTTTTCGGTCACGCTGAGGAAACAAAGATTACTTTTCCATTTTTTCCTTTTTGTGTTTTTGCGACGGCACTGCCGGATCCAAGGGGGCGGGTCATTTTGGGGACCCTCGCGGCGCGCGAAATCGATGAAAATTTGTCGTTTTTCGGGGATAGAAAGAAAATCAAACAACCTTTATGGCATGGCTGCGGAGTCGGAGTCGGAGTCGGAGTCGGAGTCGGTCGGAGTCGACAGTTGTGACCGGAGTCGGAGTCGGAGTCGGAGTCGATTTTAGAAACCCGAGCCGGAGTCGGAGTCGGAGACCGGAGTCACCGAAAATCTGTCGACTCCGCAGCCCTGCTAGGTCTGCAGAGTCGGAGTCGGGAGTTGGAGTCGGTCGGAGTCGACAATTCTGCCCGGAGTCGGAGTCGGAGTCGGAGCTGGTTTTTGAAAGCCGGAGTCGGAGTCGGAGTCGGAGTCGCCGAAAATCCATCGACTCCGCAGCCCTGCTTTATGGGGATAATTGGTTTTAAACTGCAGAGCAGTGCATAAGAAATCACAATTCACAACCCGAGGAGTTTTGGGAATTCGGAGAAACTTTTCGGGGGTACCTATGTCCTCCCCCCGCAGCGTCCAAGGCCGCCTTTCTGGATTCGCCTATGTGCGTCTGAATACTTGTAGGTTTATTTACATACAATGCAGACACAAAACGCATTTTATTTTTTAGAGTTAGCAAGAAGCTTCAAGAAAATTGTTAGTTTTGCCCTATTTAGCTACCACAAAGTGACATTTCGTCGATTTTAAATGTGTGTTGGTGGTGGTGGTGGTGGTGGGGGGGGGGGGGTGAAAGACTGATGACAAGGAGGCGAATCGGATGCCGGCAGTGGCGCGGGAACCGGGGGGGCTAGCGGGGGCTGAGCCCCTCCAATTTTTCGGCTGGGGGGCTTGTAATGTATTTGAGCCCCCCCCCCCCCCCAGCTGGAGGAATCGAAATCGGAAATCTACCAACATAATTTCATAGATTCATACATAAGCGCGGGAACCGGGGGAGGGGGCAGAGGGGAAGCTTGCCTCACAACTCTGGGGCCGTGGGGGCGGTGCCCCACAACTTTTCATGAGGCCAGGAACCGTTGGGGCAGCTTGTCCTCCCCAAATTAGGGGTTGTGGGTCACAAAGGAAGAAAGCATGTAAGTGAAAAATCCACCTCTTTCACTGGCTCGACAACTCATTGGCAGATTGAAACCTTTATTCCAGGTTGCCAAAACGGCAGTTTCTTCACTCAGCTGAGACGGAATACCTCACTTTTTTGCAAATATTTTCGTTTTTTTTCGTTGAAAAGGCCAAGGTCTGAAAAATAAGTGGCCTAAAACCGGTGAGAAAACTAGATTTGGGGGTGCCCTAGGTTGATCTCTATTATGGTTGAGCCCCCCCAGTCTTGAAGAAGTTCCCGCGCCACTGGATGCCGGTTGTCCCAGCAATGGCGTTGGCAATCGTTTTAGAAAGAAAGCCTTCTAAATGTTAAGCTCTCTCCACAATCTGAGCTGCTTAGAGCCCGCTAACAACAGGGTTATTAGCATTAGTTTCAACGACGATCTCCCAGTGTTGCTGACATGGTTTTTTGACGTTCGTTTTACATGGATACACAAGGACCTATGTATATACTTACATAGATTTGCCTCTTTTTATGCTAAATAT